AGCGAAGCTTGGGGCATAGCCTGTTTACGTTACGAAATCCGAGATATTAGGGTAACTATTTAGTATTTAAATTAAGTTCAAACACATCTAATATTCTTGAAATCGATTAGTTACCGACTAGAGTCCATGAAGCGATGCAAATGCAAGTCGAAGCTGAAAGAAGAAAAAGGGCTGCTATTCTGGAGTCGGAGGGTGTTCGAGAAGCTGAAATCAATATTGCTGAAGGCAAACGAAAATCGAGAATATTAGCGTCAGGTATGCACAACATCATATATGTTCATGCATTCCTTAAGCTTAATTTATATGTAAATTCTAATTTCAGAGGCTGAACGGCAAGAGCACATTAACAAGGCCAGCGGAGAGGCTGCTGCCATCATTGCAGTCGCCGATGCCAGAGCTCGTAGTCTACAAGCTATATCAAAATCTTTAGCACATACGGTAAGAGCAAACTTCAACAAGATGAAGCCTATTTAAGAAAGAAAATATGGATGTGCCTCTTACCCAATTGAATTCCGGTTCGGTGCATAAATCCAAAAACAGAGTACAAAAATATGCCTAGACAAAAACAAATACATACTTGGTTAGATGAATTATTTATGTTAATTCAATATCTTTCATATACTCTTATCTTGTATTATAGGACGGTAGAAATGCAGCATCTTTAACATTGGCCGAACAATACATAGTCGCTTTTGAGAAGTTAGCAAAGTCGAACAATACGATGATATTGCCATCAAATCCAGGAGATGTAACTGGACTTGTGGCGCAAGCTTTGGCTGTGTACAATTCTGTTTCTAAACAGGGCTTTGCTTTGCCTCCACAAAGCAATGAACAACAACAACACCTTAAGAAAAATGTAGAATACAATCAACTGAGTGAAGAAAAGAATGCTGTAAAAATTAATATTGAATAAAATCAAATTTTAGTAACAAATCACAAATCGTTTGTGATTATTTGGTTACACTTGTTTATTATAATAAATCATACATATATTTAGACTCGATTTCCAATATGAGTTCAAAATATTTTGTTTTTATATAAGTTGTAAATTTGTTTTTGTTCTTTATTTCTTATGAGATTTACAAAAAATATAAGAAACTTATAGCTTCAAAACACAAAAAAAAAAAAAAAAAAAAAAAAAACAAATAAAATTTTTAATTTTTATAATTGTAATCAATTTGTTCAAAAGCCATTTTTAATACTTATGTCAAAAGCACATATGGAATCTATAAACACGTACTTCCAATTAAAATAAATTTGTTAAATTTATTTTGATGTATTTTCAAAAGTTTTTTATGTTTTAGTTATTTAAATATACAAAGAAAATGTTTGAGCAAATACAATTATAAATCCGTGCGTAGATATTTAAGTTTTTTGACATTTTTAGCAGCCGATGGATGACAACATTGCTCGTGTAGGTTCACCTTGGGAATATTTGTTACTTGATAGACCTCTTTTGTGGGTGGTTCAATTGCATTTTCCAAATCTGTTTGGGATATTGCATTCTTCGGATCGGACATTTGCTTGAAAAAGAATAAATCGATGGCAAAGAGAATTGCGCAGAGAAACGTCACACCTCCCAGGGAGTAACCAAAGTCTAAAATATTATCTTGTAACTCCTCAATTATACCAAATATTAGTAGACCTAAATAAATATCATATTTAGACACATGAAATTCGAAAGTTAAAACAATATTAATATATACCTTGTATGGTAAAAAACAATACTCCAAAGCTTAGTAAAATGATCTCAGTTATGTGATAATTCTTAGTTTGTTCTTTGAATCTGTATGAGAATTGTAAACTGTGAATGATATATTTTTGGGTATTTATTCTTACCTCGATAGCAATAAGATCGACGATATAAATATATATCCTATATAGGCGAGATCACCAAAATCGTCGGCTTCTTTTGTCAAAGAAATCGTATTCAAAAGCATCCATTCCCTTAGATTCTTCTTATTGCTTGTTAGCAAACGCTCCGAATAGCGATCGGATAATTTTTTGAGAATTGTTGCGGATGCAGTGAAAACCTAAAAGGTAAACAAATATTAATATTAAATCATACACAATTTACAAGCAGTATTTGAAAGCAATATAGACAAATTCGACAGATTTCAAATTCACACATGGGTGTGGCAGCTTCGGTATTGTGCAACTACTTTTCAAGGTTTCAGAGCGCCTTATGAAAATTTATAGTTCTTATAATCTACAGATGTATAGAATTTAAATATTTATAAAACTCCATTTCATAAAAAAGTTTTAGTTATATATACTCACAATTTGAAGAACTTTAAGACATATGCAAGCAGCAAACTTCATTTTGATTTAGCACAGACAGAAAAAAAAACTCTGCTTAAGATTCTCTTTTCAGCTAGACAATGGGATTACATTACATTGTTCTTGGCTGTTCGCTAATTAAGAATTTGCATGAGTAGAAAAATGAATATGAATTTTTGTGAGAGTTC